TTCCTTCCTTCTTTCTTTGTATTTTAGGGAAGGGTCTATAGGGTGTTCAGGGTCTCACTACAAGATCAGACTTGTAGTGAATCTCCTGTTTACAACTTACCAAGAGCTGGGATTACAGGAGCACACCACCATGCCTGGTCTCAATTGCCAACTCAGTGAGCCCTGGGGTTCTGGGCTGGCACCATACGCCTGGGATTGAACCCCTGGCCCCGGCACTTGCTGGCAGGTGCTTTAATCTGCTGAGCTATTTGGCTGAACCAGTGTTTTCTTTAAGCAAGAAAAAAGAGCTTAGAAATATCTATGCTACAACTTAAAAAAAAAAACAAACTGAACCACAGAGTTCATTTTTCTCTCACAATTTCTAAAAGTATGTTTTCCTGGTTAAAGGGGCAGGAGGCTCAATAGACAGAGTAATGAAGACGTTTAATTTAGGACATTTTTTCTCATGAAAGCACAGGAATGTCATGAAGGCAATTCAAATGGGAATGAAATTTCATATTTTTCATGCACTCTGGGTAGAAATCAGAAAATTACTTAATCGGCATTCTGAGAATTCAAAATTTCTTGAAGCATGCAAAGGCTTATCTCTTGCTGCTCTTTTTGAAATTACTTTATGCACTTGGGGATGTGGATCTGTCAGTAATTAGGAATTATACAGAGAAAGGCCTCTTACTTATAATAACTCTGAAAAAATATCTCTATTTGTGAAGCTGATAAAGAACATTCTAGAAAATTGGGAGAAACCTACTTATTTTAACGCAGTGAAAATTGGAGTTATCTTTTTGTAGCGTGGTGTTAAGTCATTGGGACCAATTACATAACCTAAAATGCAAATTGTACTTAAATCACATAATTCAAACACAGAATAATCTAAGACTACTAGAGGTTGAAATTTAAAAATAGTAAGGAAGACACACTTTAATCCTGATTCTGCCTGGAGTCTCCCTTGATTCTCCTTTATTAAGCTTTAAATAACTGAAGTATGTATAACACTGGAAAGTTGAAGTCACCTGCACTAACTTAAAATAGTCAACCTTGTGAGTCAGATTCTTATTCTCAATTCTTTTTTTCTAAATTCATATATGAGATATAAGTCAAATGCTAACGAGTACAGAAGACTTGATAAAAAAATTACCTTATGAGGCAAGTTTGGATATAAGATATAAATTGCACTTGTTACATCTTGAGCCATGTTCTGTGCAATGTTGCCGTCCCCAAATTGCAGCTGAGGCAGTTGTCATAGGTAGTGTAATGGGCGAGCCTGAGCCCGCAGAGCTGGCACTGCCCATGTACCTGAGCGGGCTACCTACAGTCTTCACTCCTGACGTATCGGCCCTGTGAGACTGTCTACTTGTCCACATGCACCTCTTTCTGCTCTGTGTAATATTGTTATTTTTTTCACATCATCAAGCAAAATAGTTTCACAGTAGTCATTTGTTGTTGATATAAGTTTCTTAACTAACACTACTTTCTCTGGGGGCATTTTTTCCGTGTTTTCTGCGTAACTTTAAAGGAAGATATTGAACTGTATTTCACCTGTTAGTAAGAAAGAAAATCACTTTAAATTATGTGGATGGGCATGTAATTAAATTTTTCTACTTGTGACATATAACAGAAAATGCTATTAAAATGGAAGAGAATATAGGAAGATACAATATATGATAGAAACATAGTTTTAAAAAAAAAATTCTTGAGTTTCCCATTAAAACTAGGCAAGTAATAAAAAAAAAAGCCAAAGAAATGGAAAAAAACCATTTAAAAAAGATGATAATAAGCTACTCAGTGTAAGAAGGTGACAGCAAACATCCAATTGGCAGAGAACTAACATGGTATCAACATTTATGTGAGAAGTTACAGAGGATAAGAAGAGCATTCTGGTTAGTACTAGCAGAGGAGAACCAAGCAGTCTGAGGCCTGACCAGAAAGCACACACACTGACGGTCACACGCTGTGACCTCTTGACACGACAGGGTACGGACCGATGGTCATGTGTAGTGGAATGGAACAGGGAGTGTCCAGGCACTGCCTAGAAAGCCTGGCTGCTGTTCTCTTTCAGGAAAAGCTGCTTTTGACAGAGTTCTGGAACTTTAATGAAATCAGAAAGATGTGGAAATTAAAGTCGAAGGAGAGAAGATCTGGGTAAAAGGGAGATAACAGCTCAAAAATTCAAGAGACTGGGCGTGGTGGCACGAGCCTTTAATCCCTGCTCTGGGGAGGCTGTAAACAGGCAGATGGGCCACTATGAGTCCGATCTAATAGTGAGACCCTGAGAACCCTGTAGACCATTTCCTAAAATACACACACACACACACACACACACACACACACACACACACACAGTTCAAAAAGTCTGAAAACCCAGGTTTAAAACTACACAAAAACAACAGTTCCTATGTGAACTTAGTGATTTAACTAAAACCTACTTTTATGCAAACAAAAATGATATGACATATAAATGTGTGAGACAAAATTACCAGAATCAAACCCTGTATGAGTCACATGTATGCAATGTGTTCGACTAAAATAGGATTAGTATCAGTAAGGAATTAAAGAATAAACAGATAAAAAAATTTGACTTAATGGAAATTGAGTAAATCACATTAATAAAAATTTCACAGATGAAATAGAAATGGCTTGTAACAATGTAATCCATAGCCAGTGTACTTGTTAATGGGGAGAGGTCAAAGACATGACGTCAGGATGGCCCCTCAGGTAAGCCAGGTGGTTACAGTGATGCTGGCTTCTTCAGCCGGCCTTCTAGAATTATCCTCAGTTCTCTCAAGCTGCTTGAGGAACCATGTGCAAGGACTTACCCTGTTAGCATGCATTTCCTTCATCTCTGAAATTAAGATGATTATGTTATTATGTGAAACTATTTAGAATAGGCCCTGGCAACACTTTGAACATTTAGTATATCTTGGTCATTTTTTTAGTTTGATTTTTTCTTTTTTTTTTTCAGTACTGGGGATTGAACTCAGGACCTTGAGCTTGCCAGGCAGATGCCTATGCTGCTGAGCTATCACCCCAGCCCATGGTTATTATTTTAGGATAGTGACCAACAGAGGCATAATTCTTGTCAAATAAATGAATTATAAATTTAGTGATGTACCATTAGTCCAATGGTCTCCCACTGCTTAAAAATAGTACTTAGAAAATATGATGATTTTGCTCTTCCTTAATAAGACTGATATTATCTGCAAACTTTTCAAATACTGATAAGAAAGGAGAAAAAATAGGTTTCCTAATAGTCTACTTACACATTGTACTAAAGAATATTGATCTCTTAATACAATTGAAAAGATACATATTTACTAAAAATGTCTTTCTGATGAGTAGAACGTTTATACAGAAAAATATTAACACAGTTGATGCCAAATAACTATGAAAATGATGAATACAGTCTGTGCATTTAATTAAATTATAAAGGCCATTTAATTTTCTGTGGACTAATTAGATATTTGTCTTCAGGTACATGACAGATGGTGGGCTTAACCTGTACACAAGAAGTCTGAACCGGGTACCAGACACCCCAACTTCCAGGGATGCTATCCAAAGGGGTGCTCATGATGTGACAGTGGATGCAGACAGGTAATTCTGTGTATGCAGGTGGCGGTGAAGGACACGTATGACAAGTTTATATGCAAGATCATATGAGTTTTTACGGCCTACACCAATGGTATTTTTTTTTTATTTCATAAGTTGCCTTTAGAATATTGTGAAAACTAAGGTGGTCCAAAGGCAAGACCATTTTAGCTCTGTAAAATGGGAATATTGTGTTGCTCATTTTAATACTTCCATTGACTGCATAGACTTATTTTCCTTCCTAGATTGTATGTTTTTCAGTTCAGATATCTTTAGTTTTTTCTAGAAGCTAATAACATAAGAAATAAAACATTTGAAATTGTCAGGAATAATAAACTTGATGGATTTCTTGTGGGTGTTGAAAATCTACGAGTCTTCTCTTAGGCCTAGGGTGGCGAAGCAGTGGCGTGAGGGGCACAGAGGCTGTGTCGCTGGAAGCACCAAAGGTTCTCCATTGCTGTTTTATGCTGATTTTTATGCTTCTCCATTTTCTTAAGAGAGAGAGAAGGAAAGAGAAATTTTTATGCACTGTTCTTTTTTGATAATATTATCACTATTATAGACTGAGAGCATTGCTTTCGTAAGCTAATTTAAGAAAAATTCCTAACCTAATTTAGCTCTCTCTTTGTTCAAAATTTTTTTTACTTTATGAAAAGAGGGAATTCTCATTCCTATAGCATACTCATCTATTTATATCTCTATCTCTCTATCTCTATTTCTATCATCTATTTATTTCTCTAATAGTTCTTTAATTCAGCATTTATGAAAAGGACAATAAGCTAAGACATAGTATGTGAGTGTGGACTTTCTGAAATAAGAAACACATACAGTTTAGGGTGCATTCTGGGCTACCTGCTTCAAATCCTGGGCAATGAATTCTGGCCTTGCTCTTCAGTTTCTCCTCCCACATATGCTGGTGATATCTAACTCAAGTGGAGAAAACATACTTTACTTCCGCCTGGTGGATGGCTCTCCCAGTCTACTAGATGTTCATGTCCTGAAACACGTAGTTTAAAAAGGCTGGTGAAAAATTTCCCTCCACTCCCCATGCACTCCTGAGATATATTTACTGCTGACACCTTCACGAATGTCAATCCCCATGGACTTCTGTCTGTCCTCCTTTCTACCTCAGGACTTTAGTGATGTTTCTACACCTCCGGTGCCCTTTTCTGCATTTCTTATATTCCTACCTTCAGTGCTAGCCCAGGTAGCTGTCTCAGAGGAATGTTTGTGGAGTAGCTCCAGTAAGTTTCTTCTCAGTCAATTATCTTATGTATTCATTATGCCACTCCTCAGCACGTCTCACTTCTTTATGTGTTTGTTTTCCACATTGCCTGTTACACTACATGCCCATGACTGCAGGAATCTGTCATTCTTATTATGTGATGAGATTTCCACAAAGGCTGATACTGTAAGTGATCAAGAAATGAACTTAGGCTGTTTATTCATTTAGAATACACAGTCATGCAGCTTGACAATAAAATCCAATTTGGCAGAGAGGCAAATGAGGTCGGCAGTGGCCAAAAAGCTACAAGGATATTATAACAGGAAGGAAATGGCTTATGTACAAAAAGGGAGGCAGTGCCAGAGGAGAAAAGCATGTACCATTTTTGGAAACTGATGACCTATACATTGTTACCTGACAAGCAAACAATGAAATATCTGTGCATCTTTCATAAATAAGGTCGTGGTGGAAGAAGCTAGCCATCAGCACAAGTGTAAATTTAGTTTGGAGACAAATTGGGATGACCCACTCTCATTTTATAAAGTTCTAGACTAATTCTTTATGCCTATTTAAAATATGTATTCTAATTTTTAAATGTTGAAAAAAAATAAAGTTCTAGACTGGATCTGGCTAAGGCCCTCTGATCAACAGAGAGAAAGAAGCAAGTATCTAAAAAAGTTTGTCTATTCAAAACAGTGGTTCCCAAAGTGCGGTACCCTGCCTCGCAGCTTGGCTGGGAGTTTACTGGGATCCCAGATTTGCACACCCATCCAAGACCTGAAGAATCAGAAATTCTAGCCCTGGATCCCAATAAACTGAGCTTCTACCAACATTTATGTGATTGCTGTGCACATCAAATTTCAAGAATAATTATCTAAAAGATGACCAAATATATCCTAAACCTTCCAAAACATAAATACTTAGCATAAACAAAAAAAATCACAGCTTGAAGTTTCTATTTATTAGCTGAATTTTGTCAAAAGAAAGAGAATATTACATGTTATCCTATAACAGTGACCCTGTGTTTAGCTAGATCAAATGACTTGTACCTGAAATAAATTTTTATAAGATTTATCTTCGATAATGACACAAATTTTCAAAAAGAATGATTGAATTAAAGGAATCAAAAATACCATAGTGTGCCCTTGTATTGCACAACGCCATATTTGCACTTGTTAAATAACAATCAGGTCACACTTTAATACCTATTAATAGAATAAAGGTTTTTATTTGTTATAAATACATTTTAAGATATGTTAAAATCCTATATTTGGGAAATGAATGAGGATAAAGGTCATTTTAAAATGCATAATTTAAAATATTTTAGTTATATACATTTTAGTGTTAATTTAAAATATCTGTGATATTTTATACATTTTTCTCAATTATATCTAGTCCAAGTAAAATAGGCAAATATAGCTACAAGGTAATACCTATTGTTATTCAAAACAAACAGAAATTACTTTTGGAGCATCAGCAAAGTTATTCTCTGCAGACTTTCCTACCATTTCATTCTTAGAATTTAAAAATCTTACATGGTAGAAGACTCTTACCGGAAAGTTCTTCTGGGAGGTTTCATTACACTAAATTCCACATAGATACATTTAAACAACAGACTAAGTTTGGACTGGCAGAACAACCCTCAGAGCGTCCTCTTCTGCTCACTTCACACGAGAGCCTGCCCTTGCCGCAGCAGTGTGCCCCTCGTTCTCTTGCCACGCAGCGCACCAGCACTCTGCGTCAGTGTCATTGCGATGCAGTTGAGTTGATTACACTCAGAATATGAGACACTTGAATGTAATATAACGTCTAGTCTGTGTGTCCCCAGTGGCTGTCACCCTGTAGGAACTCAACACGCACCTGTCTGACAATTTCCTAAAGTAACCATTATCAGCCTATAAAATACAGAAATATGATTTTTAAAATATTAAATGCGTCAAAAATTGAAATGTTGTTTAAAGACCTCTCAGACATCATAAAGGCTGATGAAAACATTTAAAGTTTTTTTCACTAGCTTTTTAAAATGTGCACTATGTTACTGTTGTCTGTATTCACCCTACTGTGCAACAGTACCCCGCTTTTTCCTGGTCTTTTCTAGTGTTTCTGGTGATACAAAATGATGTTGGAGTTACTGAGTTGAGAAGGACAGGAGAGAGAGTTGGGGAAGGATTTATCTATGTATATAAACAGGCTGGTTTGGACAACTGTCCTGTGGATTTCTGCTGGTCTACGGAAAGGAGAAGCTAATGCTTAATTTGTTTTGACTCCTTTTTCCAATTGTTTCTCCTTTTTCTCCCCTTAAGTTCTTATATATTTCTTTTTTTTCTTCTTCCAATTTTGTATGCACATGTCTGGTTATATGAATAACTGTTTGGAAGATAAAACTATGTATTGCAACAGATACTGTGAAATTCATATTACTTTGTTAAGGGAAATTCTGTATCACTTGTAATATTTCTGTTTGAATACTATTTTCTACTATCTTTATAAAAATAATGTTAGATATACTAGATTAATTTTTAATCTAACCTAGTGCATTACTTTACAGATAAAATAATAGAAATTCAGAGACATTAAATGACTTATCTAGGAGGATAAGGCCAATAGTAGAAAGATTTAGGTATTTTACCTCCCATCCATGTGGTTTCTGAACTATCTTAAAGTTATTTTAAATAATATGAATCAGGGCTGGCCACATAGCTCAGTGGGTTAAAGTGCCTGCTTAGACAGATGCAGGAACTGGATTTTAATCTCCGGCTTGCTGTGCTGGCCCCACCCCCAGGGCATGCTGAGAGGGCGATTGAGACTGGGCATGGTGGCACACACCTGTAATCCCAGTGTCTGGGAGGCTGAAAATGGGAAGATCTCTACAAGTCCAATCTGTGTAGCAAGACCCTGTAGACCCTGTACAAAATATATGAAAAATCAATCAATCAATAAATAATATGAAACATACTAGTGATTCATTCATTTTAGCAAATTAGTAAAGAAGCCAGAATGATTCACTGATAAAAAGTTTTAAATAAACCCCTTCATGGTATTTCATTTGTTCATGGCATTTCTTAGATATTCTCCCTACTGTATAAGTGAAATGTTCTTATATCCAACACCCAACCAGCTGGTAGTGACAGGGAGTCTTGTTTTATTTGCATTGTGTCATGAAGTCATAGCATTGTTCTTGCTCCTTTCCCAAGAAGAGTAAGCTTAAGCAAAAGAGAACAGCTGAATTCTTATTGGAATATTGAAAATGCCACCCACTCCCCCAAAATAAAAAAGTACTTTCAGCAGCCAGCCATAGTCACTGCAGCATTTAAAGATACCAAAGCTTCTTTAGTTTCCACATCAGTGCATCTGTAATTCCATTGCTTTTTAATCTGATTAAGGAAAGTTTATAGAACGTTTGTAAACATTGTAGGTGTGTTGGAGAAGCTCTAAGAATTCACAGATTCCTAACAGGCAGTTCAAGTATAAAAGTAGACTTATCAAAAGCAGTATGAATTAAACAGAAAAATAAGCACAGATGTATTTGTTCCATGTATTTGAGAGAAATCAAAAGGAATTTGAGGAGTGAGAGCACAAAAATTAGAAGAGTTTGGTATAAGAAAACCTTAATGGTATTTCATCGCAGTCCTGGGAATGTGGTAGAATGACAAAGTTTGGACCTATTGATTATCAGAAGCTATTCTATCTATTGGAATAAAGATCTTTTGCTTTTTCACAGCAAGAACAAACGCTATAGCTATTTCATTCTAAAAAGACTGGAAGAGTATTAAACAGGATT